GCCAGGTATGCTTCCTGGGCAGCCAGATGTGCTTCCTGGACAGCAGGTATGCTTCCTGGGCAGCCAGGTATGCTTCCTGGGCAGCCAGGTATGCTTCCTGGGCAGCCAGGTGTGCTTCCTGGGCAGCCAGGTGTGCTTCCTGGACAGCAGGTATGCTTCCTGGGCAGCCAGGTATGCTTCCTGGGCAGCAGGTATGCTTCCTGGGCAGCAGGTATGCTTCCTGGACAGCAGGTATGCTTCCTGGACAGCAGGTGTGCTTCCTGGGCAGCCAGGTATGCTTCCAGGGAAATAGCAGTGCCTGTCCTTGGAAAACATGCTCCAATAAAATCAAATCACATGCGTTCAGCTTCATCACCAACTTAATTCCCCCTATTTCTTCCTTCTGTCTACCTGTATGAACTGGGAAAATGGTACCTTCACCAGGAATGCCACTCACCTCTCTCACTGACAGCAGGAGAGGGAGAAACACATGAAATTAGAGAGCTATGGAACATCATTAAATCAAATATAATGATAACACAACTCAAAAACTACATTACTCAGTTCTAACATTATCTTAATCGCATTTGCCTACTTCTAATTTCAGAAACGTACATAATTTCCACACACTTGTTCATCTTTTTAAAGAACCAAGTTAAGAGTGGCTAATGTAATCTTGCTAATGACAGATTCTATTTCGATGTCATGTTTGAATCCATTTTGGAGAACAACTTTCCTCTAGTGAAGAGACAGTGTGTTTTGAACAATGTTCTGAAAGGAATTTTAAGTATCGGTAGAAAATGGTTGTTCAGTTAAGTCAAGAGTTCTTTTTCTCTGTCAGCTGGAAAGTACATTGGCGTGGAGGACAGTAATGACCATGAGTTCTGGTGCATCGGCAAGACCCCAGATGCGGGGCTTCTGGCCAGGCGCCTGCAGATTCATATTGTTGGAGCATTCACTGTCTCCCTGGGGGTTGCAGCTCTCTATAAGTTTGGTGTGGCTGAACCAAGAAAGAAGGCATATGCTGATTTTTACAGAAATTATGATTCCATGAAAGACTTTGAAGAAATGAGAAAGGCTGGTATCTTTCAGAATGCAAAATGATGTAGGAATAAGCAGGTATCTTTGAATTGAGCTCCATAGACATTTGTCACTGATTAGTGTTCCTGAACTGTGAAACATGAATATGTGGGCTAAGGAATACTTAGATTCTTGTGACAAATAAACAATTGTGTGGACAGTGAAAAAAAAAAGAAGAATGGATCACTTAGGACTAGGGAGATAGCTCAGCAGATTAAGCGCCTGCTTAGGCAAGTGTAGGGACCGGGGTTGGATCCCTGGTATGGCAGGCCATGCCAGCCCACCCATAGGCACACGCCTATAATCCCAGTGCTGGGGATCCTGAAGACAGGTGGATCACTATGAGTCTGAGCTGTGTGGTGAGACCCTGTACCAAATATATAAAAAATAAAAGAATGGATCATTTAAACAGTTGTGCAGTCTCTTGCCTGCTTCAATATTTCTGAACACCTAGACCTGATCAGTAAGTTGCCATGCAGAAGAAACAGGTTCATTTGTTGCTTGTTCAACACGCACTGGACACGCTGTGAGCAGCCTCACCAGGATCACTTTCCTAGCACATTGCTGGGCCTGAATTTGAATCATAGTATGCCTCATCCTGTTAGCTGTGGTCTGGATCCTACACGGTAAAGTTTCAGGCTTCCTGCTGCCACACGCAGGCTGTGAGTGTGTGCCATTTCTGCACACTCATTTGGTAAACATAATCAACACCCTGAAATCCTTGTGTTTTATTGTCATCTTGTTTGTTTTATCAGCAGAGGAAACCTTGTTCAGAATGAACTCCCTGACTATAGACTGCCCGCAGTACAGAACATCACATATTTCTGTCTTTTATGTGTTGGCCAGTTTGACTTGCCTGGTGTGAGGCGGGCCCCTCCTTCAGAGTTTCCTCCAGGTCCACACCAACTCTGTTAAAGAAAAGAAAAAATCGGTAAACTCTGCTGCAGGAGGCTTGTGTATCAGATCATGTGATGCCTACTTGAGTACAGACATGGCTGGAAACTATCCTGCTTTCTCTGAATTACAAGAACCTCAAATGAATAACCAATACTAATCAATAACCTATAGCCTATAATGGTTATCTTTCCCTTCCTGGTATGCCAGAGGGTTCAACTCTTCTAGCTGGCTCCGAGGCAGAGACACTGCAGCAAATGAGTAAGGAGGGGCAGGAAGCAGAGCACTCCAGAGTGCCAGTGGTACCTGTATCCCCTAAAGTCCCGTCCCTGGAATCAGTGATATCTGTGTCCTCTAGAGTCACACTCCCGGGACCCTCCTCACACCACACTCCACTATGAGCCTTGGTGGATGAACCCACTGATGAGTCCAGGACCGCTGTCATCCAATCATTCTCTGGGCATCTCTTAACCCAGTCAAACCAACTGTTATGATTAATTGGACATTACTAGAGTGAGAACCTGCCCGGCTGGCCTCAGCACAGCTGGAGAGTCTGAACAGCAACAGCAGTTCCCAGCAGCCCCCAATAAGAGCAGGGGCCCTGAGAACCTGGGGTGGGAGACACCAGGGCAAAGACCTCCAGGGCCTGCATAATGGGTCCCTGAGGGAGGGGTACTGATACTCTCACAGGATCCACTGCCCAAACTCTCCGGAGACTGTGGGTGCTCAGGCTGGAGGGGGTTCCCCAAGGCAGAGAAAAATCAAACCTTTGTCCAAATTTCACCAAGGCTGTCCAAAGAAAGGATTCTTATAGGGTCTAAGACTTACAAAATTTGGGGTTCGGGATTGTCTTTAAGGAAATGAGTATAGAAATGCTAATATAAAATTGGGATGGAAAGTGACTCTTTAGAAGAAAAAAAATTACAAAACCACATACTTTTAAAAGCTGGCAAATATAGTGTCATGAGAAAATCAAGGGAAAAAAACTCCACATAACATTTTAATTAACTGCTCGACACACTTCTAGAATAGCTCTTTTCCCTGAAATTTTTGCCGGCATACTGTGATACTCTTTTTATATGATAATGACTTTATCTGGGAGAGAACAGAAAGATAAAGCAGTCTTTCCGCTAGCAAGATTGATCAGAATTATTGACAGCCAGGAGGCACGGAAAGCAAGCTTCTTTACCCAGGCCTGCTTGCGGTGGGCAGCACTGGCACGTCCTGCAAATGCAAGATTTCTGATACAGTTCACTTCACGCAATTTCCATAAACAATACACAGTGCACTTACCAGTGTATGTGGTTTCCTACCAAGTATATTTCTCAATTTCTACTTTGCTGGGGCATCAGTGAAACTGAATTTTACACATCTCATGATTGGAAGGATTTTCCACAGTGGCGTCTGGCTCAGTGCATTTGAAACCTTGTTTTTTCTCCGCTACCCACAGACTTCTAATGCCAGGCACCAAAGGACACATCCACATTTAATTCGGTCTTTATGTGCACTCTTTCCGTGAGCCTTTCCTATCCTGGGATGGCCAGCAGTGACCTATCCCCTCCCAGAAGTGGCTGTGGCTCACATAAATATATTCCATTCAATGAAAACTAAATGCATTTCCCAATTCAGCTTCCCCTGAACGGAAGCTCCAAAATGCCCATAGCCATCTGACCAGAGGAGAAATACCAGCGAAAGGAAACTGTAGTGGAAAGAAACAGCAGTTAAACCTAGCTGTGTTTAAAATATATTCTGTTGCAATTCTTACAAAAACACAGGATCCTGGGAACACAGTGTCGGGACTCTTCCCAGGGCCCTGGAAGGGCCAAAGGAAGTGAGGGGCCCTTTCCTCCCACAGAGGGCGCCTCTCACTGGGGGTGGGCTGGAGGAGGGACTTTGGGTGCTTGATGCCTGCCTGGCTCAGGCACCAGCCGAGCCCCTCCTGACAAAGCCACCTTGAGGAACATTGTGGGCCTTGTCTTCAACTTCTGTCCCTCTCGGGGACTTCTGCAATCACCTCCACGCATCAGAGGGGAGGCAAGGCTGGCTAGAGGCTGCTGCTCGGGACAATGTGTGAGGCGGGGCAAGGGAAGCAGTCACAGTAAAGACAGAGCAGCTTTTTTAAACATACTTCTTTTCTAAAATTCTGATTTAAAAAATAGCATCCCCTGGGCATGTCAGGACCATCTCTCTAACCAAAGTGACAAATTGAATAGCTATTTATTTACTGTATGCTGAACTCTTGGCCTTCAGGTACTATGAAGGGCTTCTGGAGGGGGCTCACTTTTGACTTTCTCTGTTAGAACTGAAAAGCTATTTTAACTCTTTCATGTAAGAAGGGGGAGCAGGAAGGGACAGAAAGGAAAGGGAAAGAACAGGGAGAACCAAGGGAGGAGGAAGAACGGATGGTACCAGGAGGTGAGAGTGAAGGGGAAAGGACAACGAGGTGTGAGTGGAAGACAGCTAGACTCCACCAGGCTGGAGTAGAAGACAGCTAAGCTCTGGTCTCCCCAGCCCAGGCGATGACCACGGGGTGCATGTGGACAGAGTTCCACAGTGGCACCTCTGTGTGGGGAGGTTCCCTGGCTACCCTCCCTAATGAGCGTGAGCAACCCTCCTATCTGCCTGGTGCATTTGAGCTCTGTACAGGATTCCAGCCCCCCTGTGAGGACTTTACTGCTAAAATAGCTCAGACCTGCGCCCCTCCTAAGAGTCAGTGGACGTCCAGCTAGCCTGGGAACTGAGGTGACGGTCCTGAAGCTCTGACTGCTATGCTTGCTTAAGGCCAATTTTCTAGTTCTCTGTCTAGAAAACTGGAGGGAACAGACATCACATTCCATAAGAAACACAGCAATTAAAGTTTGAGGCAGTACTAAGGTTTCCCACTAAAATTTAAGCTTCTCTCCCTAGCAGCAATCAAAGCAGGCATTTCTAATTCCAATTATTCTGGCAATCAGATGGAACTGAGGAATGGCGGCAGAGGATTAAATTCTTCAGCTTCCTGTGTGCAAAGTCTCTCTGAGGCCTGGCTGGGAACAAGTCTGCGCCGCCCCCTCAGCCCATTCCCCCATCTACTCTTGCCCAGTCTGGCAGTTCCCTGGTGCAGTGTGGCCATCTTAAGCGGCTGGGAGAAAGAGAGCCTCTGTGAGAGTCGCTTGCTAGCCCTCACACCCGTTCGATTGGGAAGTTCAATGAGAATACAGTGGAAAACTGTCACGGCTGAAGTGCTATCGGAGGAAAGGCACGTGACAGAATCACATAGGAAGGATGCCTCTCTTTCACGTGAGATTTGGACTACTCTTGATAAAAATATTGCTAAACTACATCGCGTGGCTCCCTGTCTCCTTAAGCAGAGCGAGGGGGTATTGTTGAAACTGGAGATCTCAACGTTGCCATTAGTCCTATAAAGTGTAACACTCGTTGCATTGTAATGATTTCTGAGAGTTGTTTGAACCTCTTTATGACCACATTAAATGTTCCCTGGCTACTACTATTTTTCTCTTTTTAATTCTTGTATCTGCCAGTTAGGCTGCCTTGATTTGCTGGCAGCAATAATTTGTTAGCACGCATTGTTTCAGTTCTCCCCTCCCCCTCCTTACCTTTCAGTTAGTGGGAGCCTAATAACCTGACAGGCAAATTGAGTAATTTTTTCAGGTTTATAATACATGTATATATAACACAAAATAATAAAATGTATAAACACAGAAGGGTTTACAGTAACATACTATTGTTCTTTGCCTAATCCCCATTTATCCCCAGACCAATTTCCTTTTGTTTCAGAGGACAATTTTGTGCCTGTCTTGATTATGTTATAGAATACCTGATGTTGATGTGCTCGGCAAACGTACTCAGCATCCCTTGGGTTACACAAACATGTGGGCTGCATTTGGACCTTTTACTCTCCTGTTCCTGAAAGCAAGTGAGAATGTGAAAAGGTCGTGCTGTAGGGCTGACCTTGATTCCATTCGATGTTGTGCTGAAAGGTCACTTAGACACGATGGCCTTCTGACAGAGTATCAGAGGAAGACATGATGGCCCCACAGCTTGTGACGCTTCACGTGCACACCGCAGTTCCCCAGGGGCGGTTGCAAGTGTAAGGATAGATTCCAACTCGCCTAGGCGGTACCCAAGGCTCGTTAGCCCTCCCTCAGTGGCAGGCTATGTTCCTCCTCGTCTGTTCCAGACACAAAAACTTAGGTCTGGTGACTAGAATTGTTCTGCTTTTTGAGCCCTGTGTTCAAATACTGCCCTTGAGTTCAGGCTGTGTCCTGATGTGCCAGAACTTCTCCCATGTCCGCCGTCCTTTCTCTCCAAACTGCAGAGTGGTGGTGCCGGCTTTGCTGGCTACCAGTCTTCTGGGACGTTCTGCCTGCTTTCTTGAACTTCTCCCTCTTTTGATCACTGTCAAGGCCCAAAGTAGCTGTGCTCCTCCAGCTCTGTTCTGGTGACCACTCTGCTGTGACCATGGCAACCCTAGCCTGTCCTTCATTTATCTGTCTGCTTCCATGCAGCCATGCAGGGCAAGCACGGAGGCTTAGCATCACATGCTCAGCGTGAGCTGGAATCTGAGAACTTCAGGTCCATCCTGTGGTTGCTGAAGGGTAGTGACACCCAGCTGTTTAGGTGCAGCCAGACTGCTTGGGACAGGAACACGGCTCAGCCCATCACTCTGCATAGCCCGAAGGAGTAACCGTGCCTTGGTCTCGGTTTCCTTGCTGGTACCAAAGGGATAACAGTGCACCCTACTTCACAGAGGTATGCTGAGGACTCAGTGAGCCTGTAGTTGAAAAGTGATCCTCTTCTTGTCCTGAGTCCTCCCTGAGAGATCCTTCCATTCACAGCCACAGCCATGGGCCAGGCACAGAGAGTGGCCAGCACACACTAGGAATTTCTGGTCTCGTGACAATGCATCGTGTCTGTCTAAGGAGAGCCAGGCTTCCCAGATGCAGGGTTATTTATAGTTTACTGGTAGGGATGTGGGGTGAGACAGCAACAAAAAGTGACAGGAAAATATATA